TGACAGAAGGATTGTGGAGAACATCAAGAAACACATTAGGAGGGACCAACTTACGTTGAGAGCCGAGTCGTGAAAGACCATTGGCCACCACATTGAGCCGCCGATCTATATGTTCCACTTGATATCCTTTAAAGTGTCCCGCTATATTGGTCACTGCCTGTCTATAAGCCACCATGAGGGGGTCCTTGGAATCCCACTTTTCAGGAACTTGCTAAGCAACCAGATCAGAGTCGTTGAGGCACCTGACCCGGCTAAGATTCATTTCCTTAGCCATACAGAGGCCATTAGAGTTGACCCAGCTATAATTGACTCACAGATACTTGTGGTGATATTGGAGTATCTAGGTGACACTAGAGTTGATTGATGTGTATCATATGATGTTATTTTAGTACGAACTCTAGGGCTGTTTGTGACACTTACAGGAATATCTCAATAGATTGATCGGAAAGGATAACTTTGAGATGGTTTACTGCCTACAACAATTTCTTCTTATGTTCTCCGCTATTGATAAGAACTTTGGAGTGATTCTTTGTCGCACGTTGAGGGATGGTTATATGATTCAATTATGTTAGCATTGTTGAGAGATTGCACTAGTGAAAGTATGAACCCTAGGCCTTGTTTTCAAGCATTGCAATACCGTTTGTGCTCCGTTTTATCACTTGCTACCTTGCTACTTTTATATTTTCATATTACAACAACCTATATCTACTATCCATACTACACTTGTATCACCATCTCTTCGACGAACTAGTGCATCATACAATTTACCATTGTATTGGGTGTGTTGGGGACACAAGAGATTTCTTGTATTTGATTGCAGGGTTGTTTGAGAGAGATCATCTTCATCCTACGCCTCCCACAGGTTGATAAACATTAGGTCATCTGCTTGAGGGAAATTTGTTGTTGTTCTACAAAACTCTGCACTTGGAGGCCCAACACGAGTCTACAAGAATAAGTTGTGTAGTAGACATCACTCGCTGGGAAGCTGTTAAAAATATTTTTAAGTACCTCATGGGGACAAAGGACATGCTTCTTGTCTATGGAGGAGATGAAGAGATCGTTGTAAATGGTTATACGAATGCTAGCTTCATGACTGATATAGATGACTATAAATCTCAATCGGGCTATGTTTTCACCCTCAATGGTGGGGCAGTGGATTGAAAGAATTTTAAGTAGAACACTGTTGTAGATTCTACAACGGAAGTAGAATATACCGCGGCTTCAGAATCTTCGAAGGAGACGATCTCGATCAACAAGTTTCCTGAAAAAGTTGGTGTGGTCCCAAGTGCGATGAACCCAAAGGCGCTCTATTGTTACTAGTAAGGTACACATGCATTGCACGCATGAGATTTGGCAACCAAATTATGAATAAATACCACATTATAGTATGTAATCTTTGGGTCATATATGCATGATGTAGATGTTCGTTTAATTCTTATAGTTCATCTCATTCAAAATCATTTAGTTTTTATAAAAAAGCTAATCTATTTTAAGATTCATGGAATTGTGCATTGTAAAGCATAAAGTAAAAAACAAATAATGACGATTCATGTAGAAATTTTTTTAGGCAATTATGATATGGAAGATTCTAGAACAAAGGAGAAGTGCTTGTGGTTTGAGGTTTGTGCATTATGCTTAAGTTCAACCATGGAGTCTTTTAGATTGTACATGTGGAAAAAACTGGTGGGATGTAGATGATATCCAATGGCTAGTAGTGCTTGGATTTGCCATCTCTGCACCGTCGGATTGGCTTCATCCAACGACCATCTTTCAAAGTTATTCGCACTCTATATAGGGGTATAGATAATAGTGGCACTGTTGCTCAAGCAAAGGAACCGAGATCCCACATGAAGACCAGACATATCGAACGCAAGTATCATATTATTCGATAGTATGTCGATAAGGGGCTTGTGAAAGTACTCAAGATTCACACGGATTTCAAGTGTCAGACTCAATGACGAATCCTCTACCACGAGCAAAGCATGAGCAACACCGGATAGCAATATGTGCTAAAAAAACTATGTAACTAGATTATTGACTCTAGTGCAAGTGAGAGTCTGTTGGAAATATGCCCTAGAGCCAATATTGTTGTATTATTATATTTCCATAATTAAGAGTTTATATTCTATGCTATAACTGCTATGATCCTGGAATGTGCGATTTAGTAGAAAACTCATATGCACGTGTGGAATGATAAACGGTAAAATATGATTCCTAGTCTCGCCTCTAATACTAGCTCAAGTGTTGTTGGTGATCATGTTTTCTAAATCTTAGGATATCATTAAGAGTAACGATAGTCCTAAACAACTTTGAGAATATGACGTTAGAAGAACTATCATATTAAATTGACCCAAACTTTTTGTTATACTTTGAGATACAATTGTCATAAGTTAATTGGTATAACACAAAGAGTTAACGCGTGATTTAATTCCTTCTGGTCGAGAGGATGGCCACATGCAGGTCAACCTTCAAACTTTGTTGTCACAGGGAACCCCATCCCTCATTATGCAAGACATGTTGTTCACGATGGGCCAGGGCTCACCCTAGAACTGAAGCTAACGTGACAACAATGTTGCACTTCTGAGATGAGCCACACTGACTATGTTTCGAGCGAGCACCATCACCACCACATTGGCGACGAAGGAGCGACAAACTATGGACTCTTAAGATGATGCCTTCAGGAAGGAAACCGTCACGACCGCACTGTCCTGCCACCGCCGAATTCAAAAGGATCAAGAGTTTTCACCTGGACCATCGAGGATGTCAAGAAAAGAGTTGTGGCATTGCTGTCAAGAAGGAAACGACACACATGTGTGTTGTTGGGTAGCTTTTCACCTTGGTAGGAAGGTCCTAACCTCTAGAACCAAGTGCGGTCGGACGCAATATAACCGTCGTACCACCTCCATTGCTTGCCACTCGCTAGTCATCACGTCGCCCTTGCAACCATGGCCATGAGGCAACACTTGAGTTGTGACCCCCGCACCCAAGTGGCACGACTCGCACCCTCAACTGAAGGGAAGCACCCAGACGAGGAGGTGGCCCGTCAGCTAGGAAAGTTGACCATGCACCCAGATTTGCAGATCCATCCCGAGCCAGACATCATTCGAAGAGGTGAGATGCCATGTCAGTTTGTGACCCTAGAACCACATGCACATGTGGTGGCCATCCCATCAGGCTTCGGTCGCACAATTGCCCCAATGGTCATTGGCCGCCATGTGACTTCAGCCCAAAGGAAGGACAAGAGAGGAGAGAGTGTTAGAGGAGGAGGGATTGCGGAGGCCAGGTGTCGCCAGCGGGAAAACCCGAGGGAGGGGGAGGGGTGATGGTGGGAGTCACCTCGTAATTGTTGGAAGTGATGCACTAGAGTTTTCTGTTGTTCTGAAGCGATGACCCTTGTATAATTAGGCCGATACTTAAATTGTTTTCATTCACATATGTGCAAGACGGTAAGGAATGGCACGTGTTTGTAAGGAATGGCATGTGTTTGTCATGCGGTAGTATGAGATGAAGTCTTACATCAGCTTTGGTATTACCTTCAATCGATTTCAATATCGTTGAAACGGATGTATCTAGATGCACTTTAATATGAGATATACATAGAGTATTAATTATTAGCTCGTGTACGCGGACCCCGTACGGCCAGCACCGCATTCTCCCTTATCTGAAGTTCTCCATATGCACGCCCCCACGAGCCAGGATGCCATGCTATAGCTATGGTCCGGTCGGTGGCACATGAAATCCACGAGATGGACCCGGCCATAAATCAACCCAAACAGTATTATTAAAAAAATCAAACAATGAGCGAACGAAGGAAGGAGGCAGCGGGCGGGCAGAGAGACAGAGGCAGGCACGAGCTGGCCACGAGCCCGCAAGACGCCAAAGGGCGCATATCATTGGCGGCAACCACAAGGCGGACAGGTGTCGCAGCCGGTGTCGTCCTCACCATTCCTGCTTGCTACTACTGCTAACCAAAAGAAAAGAAGAGAAGAGAGAAAAAAAAAAGTCTGTTCTTTTGCGTTGGTTATCCACGACTCGTTCGTCCCCCCTCCACACACGACGTGGAGCCACGCCGATGATTAGCTCACCCGTACGCACACAGGGGCAGATTAGCCATTTGCCCGTCTCACCTTCACCGCGGCGAGAAACTTGTGCACTTGATCGCGCTCGCACGTGTCCGCCTGTGTTTTGCGCTCCACGCATTAATTCTGGTGTGAATCTAGGCTTGTCTAGTAGTAGTCTTTGGGGTGTTTGTTTTCAGGGATATTTTTTGTAGGGCCTAAAAAAAGCCTTTTTTAGAGACTTTTTTATCAAACAGAGAGACTTTTTACGAAGTAAACTAGTTATTTAGGACTAAATGAAGAAGACCCTCAAAGAAAGTCTTTTGAGGACTTTTCCAACAATGCCCCTCCATGAACCTATTGGCCCGCCATCCCATGGTGTTATTTAATTATTATTTTTCTGTATATTATGGGCAACATGGTCATTTAATAACCTCTAGAAAGGGACTATAAACTTTTTAGTCTATGAAAAAACAGGGAGACTTTTAGGGACTAGGGACTTTTTAGTTGAGACTAGGAAAAGTTTTAGGACTAGAGAACCAAACACCACCTTAGTTTTGCCCTTGTAAGGCAGAATATAACTACACTCCACTGATGCAAGAAGTTCATTAGCCTTGGTATTTGAAAAGATATGTACGTGTTGACGTAAATAAACTAAGTAATTAGTTGCCGATTCTGCCCCTCGCGATCCTGATCCACCCACCACCCCGCTGCTGACTCGCAAGCGGACAAGGCATGGCAGCTATAAATCGGCACCCCACTCCCTGCATCTGAAAAATTTCAAGCCTCCCTCCCATCAACACCACACCACACAGCATTTCATATGCAGTAGTAGCCATCTTCTCCACCTCCTCCTCCCGCCTTCCAGCTAGCCACCTAGCTCACTATCACATCATCCACACCAACTCATATTGATTCCGTTCCCACCTGCTCACCGTCGCCATGCCAATGGGCAGCAGCAGCGCCGCCATGCCCGCCCTCCCTCCCGGCTTCCGGTTCCACCCCACCGACGAGGAGCTCATCGTCCACTACCTCGGCAGGCAGGCCGCGTCCATGCCCAGCCCCGTGCCCATCATCGCCGAGGTCAACATCTACAAGTGCAACCCATGGGACCTCCCCGGTACATACATGACTAACTAATCAACAGCATCCATCGATTAATCAACTCCAGCTCTGCTCTAATTACTGGAGTATTAATTTTCTTGTTTGAACTTTGCAGGCAAGGCCTTGTTCGGGGAGAATGAGTGGTACTTCTTCAGCCCCCGGGATCGCAAGTACCCCAACGGCGCGCGCCCCAACCGCGCCGCCGGGTCCGGCTACTGGAAGGCCACCGGCACCGACAAGGCCATCCTGTCCACGCCGGCCAACGAGAGCATCGGCGTCAAGAAGGCGCTCGTCTTCTACCGGGGCAAGCCGCCCAAGGGCGTCAAGACCGACTGGATCATGCACGAGTACCGCCTCACCGCCGCCGACAACCGGACCACCAAGCGCAGAGGATCCTCCATGAGGGTGAGCATTTTTTTTTCTTCTTCGCTTATTTATTTATTTATTATCTACTGTATTTTCTTCACTTTGGTAAGAGCAGTTGCTTGTACCATAAGCTACTACAACTTACTCGACTTAATTGTTTGCATTTGAAATGTTTGTTTAATCAGCGAATTAATCCGGGATTTTTATTTATTTGTTCGAGCAGCTGGATGACTGGGTGCTGTGTAGGATCCACAAGAAGTGCAACAACTTGCACAACTTCTCCTCCTCTGACCAGGAACAGGAGCACGAGCAGGAGAGCTCCACCACCGTGGAGGACTCGCACAACAACCACACCGTGTCGTCGCCCAAGTCGGAGGCCTTCGACGGCGACGGCGACGACCAGCTGCAGCTGCAGCAGTTCCGCCCCATGGCGATCGCCAAGTCGTGCTCCCTCACCGACCTGCTCAACACCGTCGACTACGCCGCGCTCTCGCACCTCCTCCTCGACGGCGCCGGCGCCGGCGCCTCGTCGTCGGACGCCGGAGCAGACTACCAGCTGCCGCCGGAAAACCCGCTCATCTACTCGCAGCCTCCATGGCAACAAACGCTACACTATAATAACAATAACAATGGCTACGTGAACATCGACACCATCGACGTGCCTCAGATACCCGAGGCCCGTGTAGATGACTACGGCATGAATGGCGATAGGTACAACGGCATGAAGAGGAAGAGGTCCAGCGGCAGTTTGTACTGCAGCCAGCTGCAGCTCCCGGCGGATCAGTACAGCGGCATGCTGATCCATCCGTTCCTCAGCCAGCAGCTGCACATGTGAAGAACCAGAGAGCTTGGATCGAAGAGATCATCGTTGTTCCATTTGAACTTGCTGTAGATCGAGGAGATCGCCCGTTGTGGCAGATAGGCAGGGATCTAGCTTGCTTGCTGCGTCGTGAACTCCCAACCGATAAGAACGGACAAATTTCAGAATTCTTGGTGTAGCACAAAAGCTGTAAATTACGGGGTTTATTGTGAAATAAATTAATCCAGTATTGTTACAAGATACTCCTACATGTGATGATCATCATATATCCTAGGGTTCTTAGTTAATTCCAGAATGCAAAACCAACGACGCATCCATTCCATGGCCGACACACGCAGCCGGACTTGTTAATTAACTGCTGGCGTACCCAGCACTAGTTAATGATCGAGGCTTGTTGCTAGCGTGTGCGGTCTGAACCCTTCCCTTGTCCACCGTACAGCCAGGAGCAATTAACTAACGCTCGCTCGAATGATCCATAGCATCTGTCACCGGAAACCAAAGCCCGAATCAAATACACATCATTTAACTAAGGCTCCGGGGCCAATCGAACGGCAAAACGTCAGCTCGCAGGAACCGTCCAGGCGTGGAATTAAAATTGTGGCAGGCCGGACAGATGAAGAAGGCGGCGGCACACGCCGCTCAACTGCTGCTGAACTTAATTTAGTTGCCGCGCATGCTGGTATATATCACACGTTGCGAATTAGATAGGCTAGAAACTGGAATCTTCCGTCCTCCTCCATTAGGTTAATCACAAGAGCGTCTCCCTATTGGAGACAGAGCTTTGTTTATGCTTGCGGCCCTTTCGAACCATCGTGTACCAAGCCAAAGAAGATAATGCAGAGTACTTAATTGGCTTAGCCTTTCCGATCCGGTCTACCTCTACGGCTCTACCACCCCATGGTTGGGACTTGGAGCGATCACACCAAAGAAACTTAATCTAGTAGCTACACGTAGCGGAAGCATCAAGTCACACATGCTTACGGGGACTTGTTACTCCCTCCTTCCATCTATATAGGGCCTAATGCGTTTTTCGAAGCTAACTTTGACCAAATGTTAGAGCAATAATATATGACATGCAACTTACACAAAGCACATCATCAAATTCGTATGTGAAAGGAGCTTTCAATGATATAATTTTCACATTATGCATGTCATGTAGTATTAATTTTATCAATAGTCAATGACGATCTTGAAGAACGCATTAGGCCCTATATAGATGGAAGGAGGGAGTACAGTTAATTGGTACTTATACGCTAGTTTAGTCGCCGGATAGCCTAACCGCACGCGTGATTAAAAGGTGATTGAGACATATGAGGGTGGTTAAGATAAGAATGGTGCGTCCTAATCAGGCTTCAGCGTAGGCTTAGCTAAGTCATGACGATGATGCCCTAAGCATCGGTTATGATAGATTATCTCTAAGCAGGCATGCATGCATGCTTGCGAAAAGCTAGTTGAAAAACGTCTGTGGGGTGGGGTTACTAGGATCGTCGTACGTAAGAGGTTGAAAGGCTTATCCATGAGCTCACATGCATGGGTACATGACATGGGTGGCTGGTCCCCTTTTTCTAGAACGATAGCCACTATCGGTAGCCGCTAATAATTGGCTACTTAGGGTAACATAAACTTGACCTCCCACCTTTATAGAAAAGGAAAATTCTGAACTCAATCTTCCTTTATTTTCACGAAGATGAATTCGATCTTCTAGCTAGTTTGATCCTCTTCATGGAGCACAGCATACATCATGCTAAGAGCAGCTTTTTGGCTGCAGACTTGTTACATTTCACCTTTTTATATACCTTGACATCTCGCTGCATTTCAAAAAACTTACTAATTTAGTTTGAGGCCTTTGACCAGCGGCACAAATCGGTTTATGATAGGTTTGAAGCAAAACTGGGTAGTTGAAGAGGAAACAATTTCTCCGCTAGCTTCAAACTAATACTTACTAATTTAGTTTGAGGCCTTTAACCATAGAACAATTGGTCTACGGTAATTTTTTATTAATCAAGTATAAGTATGTTACGACGAGGAGGGTATAAAGGAAGAAAAGAGAAAAAAAAAGTTAACCAATATCAGCTCCAAGAAACACTATAGGAATTGAAATTAGGGCAAAACTTTAACAAATCTTGAAAGCGAGCAACATGCTTGTCCTAATCATGTGACTTATAAGCTCTAGATTTGCTCTCAAGAAGTGTTTCCAGGAGTCAAGAGAGGGAGTTATGCTCCTGAAGATCCTTCCATTCCTTTGCATCCAAATATTCCAGCACTCGTGTATAAGAATTTCCATTACAATTGGTTTAGGTAGTCTCTCAGTCGTGAGAAGAGCTTCATCATAAACTGAACCCCCTCTAAATAAAATTGAGATAATGAATCTCCAATAGTCAGCGTCGGTATTTCGATTCTCATGGTGAAGACAGTGACAGAGAACATCATGGTGGCTGAGGTTTGAGGCCTTATAATGGTGGATCGAGTCTTCATGGCAATGAGGACTTTACTTGGTGATTCGGGACTCGTGGCAGTGGCATCGGTAAGTGGAGGCGGCAACACAGGCGGAGTATAGAGTCTTAGCTTTCAGGGTGAAAACCTAAGGTATGACCTTAATTGGTTGTGCCTGGCAGTGACCTTGTTGAAGGCATTGTTTTGAGAGCGCGGATCTTCTTCATGGTGAAAACCTAAGATCTATGATCGGGCGATGACAGTGCATCTGCACTATTTCCTTCTTGAAGGTGTCGCATTTGGAATATTGGGACTTCGGGTGTTGTCTAGGTGGTGGTTTGTGCTGCAGCTACAAGTTGATCACTGTAGCAGGATCTTTCCTTTTTTCTTCTTCTTCTTCTTATTGTCTTTTGGTTGTGTGCATCTGTAATGTCTTTATGACATTGCGTTGTTGTAGAGGCTGGATGTAATTGGTATCTTCGCGATATTAATATATTCTCTTTGTTAAAAATACAGTCATTGGCAAAGTTGTAGTCCCCAAACAGATGGTGTGCAGTTTCATCAACTTTTTAAGTACATAAAGTGCATGCATAATCATCCATATATAAGCCTTTCATTTGAAATAGTGTTGTGGTGTTCAGCTTATCATCAAGTATAAGCCAAAAGATAATTTTATGCTCGAGCCTACTTGGTCCTTTCCAGACTTTACCAAAGAGTTCAACGGCCTTGTTGTTTCCCATGATAGTTGTGCACATTTCATAGAGGAGTGACCCTTTGAATATGACCAGAAATCCAACTAGCCCTCCTCTGCTGCCGCTACATCACTTTGGTTGGCCCAACTAGCTACCCTTTTAGAAGGTTCTAGAACCTTCCCAGGCCGTTTTTCTGTTGCCTTCTTTTCCGGGGTTTTTTGTGTTTTGTTTTCCTTTCAAAATTTTGTTTTCGCTATCCTTTTCCCTTTTTTTCCTTCTCATTTTTGAGTCCAAATTCATGATTAATTTATGAAACGCAGGAATAATTTTTAAATTCGGGAATACTTTTTTGCACATTCATGAACATTTTTTGAAATCATGAATATTTTTCAAATTTTTGAACATTTTCTGAAATCTGAGAACAATTTCTAATTTGTAAAAAATAAATCTAAGAACTTTTGCCCTAAAACGATGAATTTTTTTGTATACGTGAACTTTTTTCAAATTCATGAACATGTTTTGAAATTTGGAACATTTTTTAAATCATGAACATTTTTTAATCCTGGACATTTTTTGAAATTTGGGACTATTTTCACAAATTCTTTAATATTTCTAAAATTCATGAACATTTTTAAAATTGAAGAAGAGTTTTTAATTTTTTATTTTTACATAAAAAACAAAAGGAAACTTGAAAAAGAATAATGGGCCCGCGTGGGTCGAGAAGTGCGCGTTTCGGCGACTCCTGTCGCCCTACGTGGGAAATAGGAGCTCCCAGACATAAAGTATAGTGTTTTTTCTTCTCAGAACATAATGGGCTGTAATGTGGGAGAGAAAGCTATCTCGGCCTAGAATTTATATGGGCTGAGAATACTCGGCCCATATAGTTTAGGAGTCATCTATTCGGGAACACCGGAACACTCAAAAAAAAAGCTCCTGATCAAACATTTCTCAGTTCTAAAAAAAAGACCAAACATTTCTCAAAACAAAAAAGCTCCTGACGAGTCGACTTGGGCTGCTCCATTCTTTGATTTTTTTTCCAAAATTAAAAAAAAATGTTCGCAATTTGAAAAAATTCAAAAAAAATAACAGCTCCTGAGCTAGCCTGCCCACTTCTCACACGTCAGCACGGCCTGAAGAAGCACAAAAACAAGTCAGTACGACCATTTCTGAATTGCGACGGAGGTGTTTCCACAATATCAAAATGCAGCTCATGAGCTGTTTGCTGACAGAACGTACCAGGAAATTTTGTTAAGACTTGGCCAAGCAGATTCTTAATTCCCCAAAAAAGAAGGACAAGCAGATTCTCGAGAAGATACATGCATTCGGTCCCTAAAATTGGTGGAGTACAGCTCGCTAGCCGTGGCTTCCATCTCTTTTTTTTTCAATCTGACGACATCATGCTGACAGTAGAGAGTATCTTGGATCTCCGATGAGCCAGCTGCCGATCGAGTTGATAGAAAATTTCAGACCAATTAATGCTGCACATCAGCTCCATTTAGGTAAACAAACTTGGCCGCACCCGGTAGAGTAGCTTGCAGTTAAGCAGAAACTTCTATCTCCGTTGATCTACGGAGGCATACGTGGATTCGGAACCGACATTGAACGGTCAGAGAACGGTGTCCCTCTGACATGCTTTACAGGAGCATATGCATGCGTGGCTAGCTGGACGTAAGCTAGCTGTACCACAAGCTAGCGCATGTGGCACCGGCCGATCGCTTTCCCTAGCAAACAGTTGGGTCAAGATCGAGAGTTTGAATCGAAGCCCGGCCGGCCGCCAAATCCAGTTCCGCCGGCCAGATAATATGGACCTTGCATCGTGTGCTCTAGCCTCTAGGGCTGGCTGTCAAGCATGCACGCACGTGCTCCTAGCCCCCAGAGCTAGAGAATAAACTAATAATAATTTAAACAGCTGGACACGTATACCCAGTTTCATTCAGTAGTACTAACATATTATCAGTTAAATTTTTGATCAAAATTTAACATATAAAATACAAAAAAACTAATAAACCAGGACGAAGGTAGTAGTAGCGAGTTTCTACGAGATTCTAGCCGACCGAGGCGGCAAGCTCGTGGCCTAACTAAGAGAGGCTGGAGCTGACCAATTTCGATTGTTCCATGCATGGTAATACTTGTGAGGTATGAACAGCCGTCATTCTTGCATGCATGCTGCAGGCTTTGACCGTTCCACGCCATGAGAATATTTCTTCTTGTAGAGGTCCTATGTTGCTGCTGCAGGCAGGCTTGAATCCGTACGGTTAAAAAAGGTTACAAAAGTCCTACCTTGGCCAACTAAATTGCCATAGTCACGAACTGAACAAGACATGTTGCAACTTGCAAGAACGAGCCTACGTGGCCTGATAGCTGCATGCATGCCCACACCACAGCACTACTCATGCCGATGTTAAGCTAAGTACTGTACTACTCAATGTTAGGCTGATATGGATGCTAGCTACTACTCCAGCTTCAATGTGTACATGCATGCGAACTGATGTGCGCTGCACTATTTTATTTTATTTTATTTTATTTTTGTCAAAAGAGATGGCAATTACCAAGAAACCGGAGCAAAGCACACTTGAATCTACGCTCATCAACAATTAACAAATCGAAACTGAGTTATTTACCATATATGCCGCGAAATTTCACATTATCATTGAGCTAGCTAGCCTAACTGCATGCAAAGACCTGACCAAATACATGCATACCTAGTTTCTCATGCATGGTCATCAAAGAACACACAAACCCTACATGTTTCTTCAAATCAGTCTATATACTGAAACCGGGCATAGGAGAAAAGTAAAGGGAATAGTTTCCTTTGTCAAAATATCTAGGCGAGAGAAGAGTCTGTGGTTTGAGGGATTTGTATCTTTCTCCGCAACGCTACAAGAGAGAGAAGAAAGTCAAGTGGCCTACCAAACAAGCCTCCTGCCGTCAGTTTTAGGTCCTGTTTGGTTTCAAATAAGTCACCAACTTATAAGTCGAAAAATAAGAAAAATGACTTATTTTGCTAAACGGACCCAAATTATAAGTCACCCCAACTTATAAGTCATAAGTTGCTCCACCCCAACTTATAACTTATAAGTCACCCCCTTTTACGTGGGTCCCATCATCTTTACATAAAAAACAAGGTGGAAAGGTGTGGTCAGGTGACTTATAAGTCAGGTGACAACCAAACAGGCATGACTTATAAGTCACTGATTTTAAGTAACCTGACTTATAAATCAGATGACTTATTGAAATCAAACAGGCCGTTAATTGGCAGCGGCCCCCCACACTCCCCGGCTGTAGCTGTGGAGATACAGGGAATTAAAGCTGCAGAGGGCAATTAATCGCTGAAATTAATGCCCCCGATCACACCTAAATCTGATGTGTGATGTGGGGCGATTAATGAAACCGACTGAAGAGTTCCTTCCTAGGCAAGGTTTAGGTGGACCTGGCCCCTCCGACGCCACGGAAAAGGTCGCTGAAAGCATTATAAAAGTTGGCCTCTTGCGCGCTCTCCATCCCCTTCCTGTTCCCATTCATCCGTCTGCACCCAGCCTCGCTTTCTTGTGCGCTCAAGCAAGCCTCCGAGGTTCCTCTTCTTCTTCTTCCTCCCGATCGATATCACTCGTAGCTAGCAGGCTACTGCTTTCCTTGGCTGGCTTGATCGAGAGAGCGAGCATGGTGGAGAGCGTGGCAGCAACGCCGTCGGAGGAGCAAGGCCGCGGCGGCGGCCTGTCGCTGCCTCCGGGGTTCAGGTTCCACCCCACCGACGAGGAGATCATCACGAGCTACCTCCTGCGCAAGTTCCTCGACCCTAGCTTCGTCTCCCGCGCCGTCGGCGAGGTCGACCTCAACAGCTGCGAGCCGCGAGATCTCCCAGGTACCAATTCGCTTCGCCCCCCTAGCTTCATCGTCTTCTTCTTCTTTTTTCCATGCATATTTACGGCGGGCTAGCTAGCTGCTGATGTTGTTTGATGTGGAACTGAAGGCAAGGCCAACATGGGGGAGAAGGAGTGGTACTTCTTTGTGCACAAGGACCTCAAGTACCCCACCGGGAGCCGGGCCAACCGCGCCACCAAGGAGGGCTACTGGAAGGCCACCGGCAAGGACAGGGAGATCTTCAAGCCCCGCGCCCGCGAGCTCGTCGGGATGAAGAAGACGCTCGTGTTCTACAGGGGCCGCGCGCCCCGCGGCGCCAAGTCTGAGTGGGTCATGCACGAGTTCCGCCTCGAAGGCAAGTCCAGAGGCCAAACCATGAACAATCCCAAGGTGAGCCTCTCCAACATTCCATTCTAATTACGCCTCTCTCTAGACTCTACTCGATCGGAGGGTGAATTGATTGGGAGTTTTTTCGTGTGTGCTTTTGATCGGTCAGGACGAATGGGTGGTGTGCAAGGTGTTCAACAAGAAGGGGGAGGCCAAGGCGGCGAGGGCCGCCGACGTGGACGCCGAGTACTCCGCCGTGACGACGCCGAACTCTAGCTCGGTCGTCGACGCCGGCGAGGGCGCCGGAGACTTCACCGACTCCATGTTCACGATCGACCCGCTCTGCTACATCCCCAACTCCGACGAGTACACAAGCAACCAGCCGCCGGCCAAGACGACGACGTCCACCACCACCAACAGTGCGGCGCCGCCGTACAACGCGGACTACTACTACCCGTCCGTTCCTACTACAGCTGGAAGCTTCAACCTCATGTCTAACTACAGCTTGACCAACGCCACAAGCAACGCGCAAACGTCCACCGCCATGGCCAGCTCAGTCCCGGCAACAAGCGGCTCCTCCTGGCAGCACATGCTTATGAATACGGCGCCGCATGGCGGGATGATGGGAAGAAGAAGCTACGACGTCAACCTCCATGAGCAGCAGGCGATCATGATGAGAGCCCTAGGTGGTGTCGTTGGCGCCCAAAACTTCGGTGAGCCGGCAAAGGGTCTGCAGTTGCCGAGCTCCGCGGTGACCGCCGGCAGTGTTCCGCCTCAGCAGGGCAAGCTCGGGAGCTACGACGACGGTGAATTTCCCTATGGGAATTATGATCTTGCTTCTGCCGCTATGAGTGGACGCCCAGCTGCTGCTAATAATCTTGGTCCTAGGTTTTACTGATCGAATGTTCATTGATTGTAGTAATTTTGTTGGTTGCTTCATTGATTAGATCGATGTTGATTATATATGGACTATGGAGAGATTACAGTTGCATTAGTTTGTTTTAGGATTTTGTAAAAAAGGACAATATATTGTTTGTTGTGAGTTAACTATGTTGCTTCTTCAATCTTCATTGAGCTGATGTTGTCGCATGGCACATAATTTCAGTTTCACTAATTCTCGGTCGCCTAAACTTTTGTGGGGATCTTTGAGTAACTTGGGTAATATAAGTATAACTCAGGTGAAGATCCTTTTCCCAAAATGTAGTTAACCACATGAACATAGTAGTAGTATCTCAAGAAGTCTGCCAGCTATTTTAGCAGCACAAACAATTCTTGGCAAGTTATATATGAAGTTGGCGTGGAAATGAGGATGGTTGGGTGTTGGTCCAAATTAAGACTTAGAGAAATATAAAAGTTCAGACAACTTATGGTTTTGCAAACTCTATCTTTAGGTTTAGTATGTGTGGCGTTTGTAGATGGCTCTTCTTTCATTGTTAACTATAATAAGGACCTCGGTCGTCGTCTGTATATATATACAGGCTGTTTTTGTTGAATCTTGATTGCCCTAGTCGTGTCCTTGTTGTGCCTTCTCATCCAAAATAATTAACAGATGATGCTGTTGATTAGGTCGTGGTACTGGCTTATTCTGTTCTCTAGCTAGCTACTAGCTACACAGATGGGTAACCAAAGTAGCTAGCTACTAGCTACAAATCGGTAACCAAAGCAGCTAGCTAGCTATATGCATGTGTACTCTAAATAGGCTGTGGAGACAGACAGAGCTAGAGAGATATCTAAACCAAGAGAGTGAGCCATGGTGTGTGTGTGTGTAGGTGCGCTAAAGTGAGCCCGAGCGCACTGTGCTTATTCTACGCTCCGACCCATGGAGCGCACCCTGTTTGCTAATCGGTTACATCATTCTTTAATTAGCGCAGCCACATGCATGCATATAGTAAATAATTTAATTCATTTACTATGTTTGGCCCGCGTTTTACTAGCATGCGAGTCGAGGATGCGAGACAGACGACATTGCTTGTTGACCGTAATTCATTTAATCCTGTTACCATATTTAGCATGGTTTTTTTACTAGCATGGCGGGATCAGTGCATGCGGATGGTAACTGTTTTAATTCAGTTACCATTCCTAACATGCTTTTTACTGCCATGTGAAACAACAGATGTCAGTAACCCAATTTGTTCTATTACCAAGTTTTTCATGGACGATTACTAGGTTACTACATTTCCCATGGTTGATTACTATATGCCATTACAAGTAGGCATGTAGAAAGGAAAAATGGTGGTGGGACCATGCACCTGCATGTCCAGCCATTAACCAAATTAAATATGTTACTACTTTTTTCTTGGTTGATTACTATGTATCATTTGAGCATGCATGTAAAAAAGACAAATGGTACCGGTGCGTGAACTAGTGGGTGCAGATAGTAACTGAATTTATTGGGTTACTATATTTCTTATGGTTGTTTACAATGTGTTGCTACGACCATGCATATAAAAAAAAGAAATGGTGGCGGGATGATGAACCGCTGCATGCAGATGGTAACCAAATTAAATCTATTACTATATATTCCACAGACTTTTACTAACAGGTGGAAGAATAATGCCGATTAAACCAAACGGTGCGTGCGACACGAGCGGAGCGCAGAATAAGCGTTTTACGCTCCCGCTTAGTTTAGCGCTTCCCGCTTACGGACTCTTCTTTTGTACTCTTGGGAGTATGTACTCTCATCCTCAATATACCTCATATACGTATTAATTATACCTCTTTATTATTCTCAATATACTTTATTAAATATTCTAAGATACTTCAATATGAGTTTAGTTCACAAAATATCATCTGCGACGTACTTTTTGTAATATACCTTTTCACGTACAAACACATCAGTATATACGTAAATATTTAAAAATACATAGACTCACATAAATTTTTTCATGAAACTCATTTTAGGGTATCTAATAATTACTAATGAAGTATATTAAAAATAATAAAAAGGTATAAAAGATTCATCTATGTGGTATATGAGGAGTGGGAGTACGTACTCCCAGAAGTACACAACCATTTTCCTATATATATATATATATATATATATATATATATATATATATATATTCTTCCATGTATGTATGGAAAAGACACAACTAGGTCATACTTATACAGTAGTAGTGCTCATACGTATGACAATACTTTTCAGGTGCGGTGACTTTTGTTTGTCAAGACCTGTGAAATTGCTCGTAAATCGTAATGTAAGCAAGCTAGTTTGTATTCTTGGCGCGCAAGTTAGGACTTAGTCAAGTGGCCTCCAAGTTAATTAGCATTGTATACAGGTTGGTGCAAGCTGGAGCGTTCGTCAGCAGGAAAGCACGTGCAGCCACGCATGCATACATGTTGGACGGCGCGTGCATGCACGCAGGCCACGTGGGGACGCCACCTGTATGCCAGCTCAGTTATGGGAGGAGGTCATTCACTTGATCTACCGAGAGACCAGTTTAACGAAGTACCTCCTCTATTTTAAAATATTTGAAGTTTTACTTTTGTCATCAGTCAAATTTCCTTGAAGTTTGGTCAAGTTTGTAGAAATAACATCATCTATAACATCAAATTAGCTTCATTAGATTCATCATAATATACTTTTATCAAACTGAAAAAAATATGACTCTCCAATATTTTAACACAAGAGTAGTACACATGAAGATCGATCGTTAGAAAATGGAGAGCTTTTAACTGAAACTCTAAAAGTAAGATGATCAGTTACCAATGGTGGCCAGCGAAGATTCCTCGAAAAGAAACTATATACAACCAGCAAGATAGTAACTGAAAGATGTAGACGTAACCCCTGGCATCCAGCTTGCATGCATGATCCCGCACACAGTGCAGCGCAGGCCTGGTGCAGCGTGATCTGAGGGGGGAAATAGAAAGGAATCCCCCTTTTTTACCGGCATTTTGGGCATGTTTCCTGCATCATAAGCCGGTGCAAGTTACGTACCATTTTTGTTTCAAATAATTTAAAAGCTATATGTGCATTTTCCGCCCTTTTTCACATGCCACATATGAGCACCTGCGAGAGATACTGGATACCTTTGTAGTCGATGTAGCGTTTTCACTCACTGAACGAACATCGTCGGAAATATTGAAAGAACATTGTCGGGAAGTCTGAAATAATAAATCTAGAAAAATTGAAGCACCAGTGCTAAATATAGAACTTGAACCCTATTGGGTTGGTTCCACCAAAATGAGTTTGCCTCACTGCACGTATCGCAGGGGTAAGTTTGTAGTATTAGGATCGAGCAATGCCTACGAAGATCTCTTGCACTTCCTTTTTTTGAAAATTTGCAGGAGAGCGGCTAAAATTTCGTTGGAAGAAGATTTATCACTTCCCATTACTCCACCGTGGCGGTACTAGATCAATAGTATCATGCTTCTGTAGATGCCCAAGGTAGGTACATAACTAACTCATCGTACGCATCCCAGGCCCCCAGAGTCATGCTACGTAAGCAGGTTTATTATTTCAGAAAGGAAAAACTGCTCACAACAATCCGCAAACGTCAAAGACCTTTCTTCCAAGTTATGTTTTGCAGGCTATACTATACACTGGCAGTGGCATGGCTCCCAAGAGACAAACACGCACTGACTTGGCAGCCAATGTATGGGCCAGTACGTCGCCGGTACCGACTATACTGAAAACACATCTCATTCGCCAACGTCAGGCTCAGCGGATAGACATTATAGTACTATCATCATGGGCCTCCGGGATATGCAATGACGTGTGCCTCGGCCTGACTATGAGGATATATGTTTGGTCCAGAACAAAAATGTCGCATCGGCGAGGAATCGCACAACAGTAAGCAAAATACAACAACAACAACAACAACAACAACAACAACAAATCCTTTTGCCCTAAGCAAGTTGGGATATGAAACGCGATATAACACCACACAATCTATATGCCCGCGAAATTTCAGTTGCGTTTCCTTTTGCATTATAAAAGACAAAATGGAGCACGCATTAAACCATATATAAAGGGACGCCACAATTTTCTACTCACTCGAGTGCTAAGCCAAGACAAGACCTATAGCAAGCATAAAGGACAAATTGACACGAGAGGAGGAAAAGATACTGGGGCGTCATCCGACTATCCATCGTTTTAAATGAAGTAGGCAGAGCGATCACTACTCCAATCTCAATCATGTAATCACTTGCGCGGTAAGTCTAACTGACAATTACACATCCTCAGCGGTGCAACATAGAAAGGAGCGATGCCCCCAAAAGTAGCCTTGTGTCCCAATCACCCAAGAAATTGATGTGCTTCAAGTTATGACTACTAAAAGAATAACAAGATTTTATTAGATGGACATTAGTGCCATCATCTTATTGGCTTCCTGAATTCCAGGCTATTCACAGGGAAAACTGGAAACAATTCTGGTTTGATAGTACAACATAAACCTTGCGCATGTAGTAGTTTGCAAAGGCTCAGATCTCCGTGGGTTTGGGAATGCAATAGTACATCAAAAAATTGATCACTAAACAGAAGTTTGGCTTAGTAAAATACACAAGCAAGGCACCTTTGAAGAGGAAGCTAACTATATCCACTGCGCAGGGTAACAAACACTGGCCATCCACATCGGGTTTGCTTCAAGATCAGACCAAGTTTAATCCTGGGGAGCCTCAAACCTTGACGGGGTATCGATCCCCATCATGCAGCAAAGTCCTGATATCAAGATGATAAGCAGCACCACACCCTGCAGATTACGCAAAAATGTGAATGAATTATGCAAGGATACAAACAACTGTGATCTACATACTGCAGTTTATACAGATGAAGAGGACAAATTCAACAGCATAGCTTGGAATAAACAAAACAGAGTGCGAGTAACAACTTACCACAAAAACTCCTTCCAGGAGAGTTGATTTTAATTGACATTCTCCATCGCATTTCTCTAGGACAGGTTTAGTTGTATTGGTCTTCTCTGCAAGATACCTGGCTAATGGCAGGTCCGAAGGATTCTCCAGCAAACCATAGGGTTGAGATGCGTAAAGAACTGTGTATTTAGCCCCAGACTTGTCAAGAACAGAAACCAGATCCAAAAGCAACTGCCCTGAAGTAAGGAAGTGGAACACAGGTTAAAGTTGTACAGTTGAAGGTGATGGAACTAAACCTGGTTACTTTACCCAACCTTCTGATTTTGCATTGTCCTTGAAACCACCGCTACAGAAGACGATTAGCTCAGTTGGTTGGTTGTTTCCCATCCGTGACTTCACCAAGTCCTGGAATGTATATGCTGTCAATAAATAATGATATACAGAAAATATCGAAATAAGTATTTTATATGTAAAAGATAACTTGCTTGAACAGAATCCATGTTCAGATGTTTCTTCACACTTTCACTGCTTGCAGTACACGTGTCTGTGTAAGTGATATGATTTCCTCCAGAACCATCCTCACAATTCTCAGTAAATCCAGATAGCAATGAGTTCTCTAGTGCTTCGTCGTCTGACATGGCAACATAAGGGAATGCCATGGAAAACTCGGAGCTTGAGAAGGACAGCTGGTAAAAGGTATATATATTAATGGATTTGAAATCATTCTATGCTTAAAATTATGTATGACAGCAGAGAAAAAACATGGAAAACCATATATGATGACTGTGACTACCTTTAGTATGTCCGCTAAAGCAGGATCGACCTGTTTATCTTTAGAGATGTCTGATGATTGTAGCTGAGGAACAATATTAGTTACTGGTTAGTGTAACTGAAGCAACAAAATAGAGATAGCATCTTCAACAAAAAAAATTCTAGGCTGGAGTTTTTTTTTCCTACACAGACTAAAGCATGGAGAATTTTAGAAAAAATAATGGCCTCTTGGACTTGACCAATAACAGCTAGCTGAGATATCACGACGAGAAGGTATTTGAATAAACAATTATCGATGATTATGAGGCTGCTTCCATCAAGTGTGGATTTAGTGTAACCAGTGAATGCCCAAAAGATGAAAAAACTAATTTATAACAGTAACAAATGTATGGTAGTCCAAGAAATACCTTTGATCCAAGAAAAAGAACTGCAACATCAACATTCTTTTGAGGACCATCCTTTGAACACTGAAAACAAAACCAAAACATTGTGTGCTGCTTAAATTTGTGCATACGAAGAACTCACATTTCAATAAAGCTGGATGTCAACTTAAGTTCCAATTGGGACATTGGAGGGGAACTCACCACCAAGTTTGACCAGCCACCTTCCTCGAGAACAGAATCAGCTAAACTCTTTGGGGAGATTGTCTGATAGTGGACTACTTCTTTAGCCTCATTGGGACTAAGTCTGGAGATAAAGGTAATGTTATGTAAACTACTATTACTTGAAGGACGGCAAATATATCAAAAATGAACTTGTATAATTGTACTTCGTTGGTAAGTAACCGAAATGCATAAATTTCACAAAATGAAAACTTAGAACTAGTCAACAAGTAACCAAACATCCAGGAGTAAGACTGATCAGGAACACCAGAGATGTAAAATATGAATCACCTGCACTAAGAACAACAAGGAGTAACACTGGAGATGTATGAGATGCATCGTCTACACTAAGAAGACGGAGGAGCAACATGTGACCTAGGTAGCAGGTAGCGCCTGGATGCATTACACAGTTGCTGTAATATTCACAGGTAAGGATGCATCTCGGTAGAAGGCGATTGTCATATCTAATGGAAATCAGGGTTTCAAGTTTCCTTCAGCTTCGAGGCCAGATACATTCCACAAGAAATAGAGAAAAAAGGAACTGCATGTTTCTACTTGAGGTATACAAATATGGGCAGACAGCGTGATTGAACAGAAGTCACTGTTCAATTTGCAACACAAAAAGTGCAACTTCCCCTGAGAACTGATGCTCAGCATCTGCTCTCCTAATGTCAACGGGACTATGGAGTGGCCTGCATACAAGTTGAACAAGGGTCCTGAAGCCAACAATAAACTCTGTTCTGTCTCTCCTTCATCCGGGGTTTATACCCATAGATCACTATTCTTAGTAGTCTACATGAACAAAATGTGTGGCTTTCTATGTAGAGTGGGTTTCATCACCAGATATCATCAATCCTCCAGCCTTCCATTACTGAAGTTGGGAAAATTTTCTTCCAACTACCCTACTCTACACTCCACAGATTGAAGATTGTCACAAGGATGAGTGAATTAATGTTTGCACTAAGTAAAGATCTAGAGATTGATTTTTCCACGGGTAGCTGTATGGACATACACAATTATGGTTGGAGAGAAATGCAGCTGACATAAATCTACTGTGATAATGTAGATACCAATCTTTTTTTAGAGGATGTAGATATCAATCTTGAGGTAACACCATGATTGCCTTCCAATGAACCATGCTATTCCGCAGCATACAGATACACCATAAAGTAAAGGTGAGAGGCCTTCAAGTAACAAACTTGAGGTGACTATCCCATGCACTGAACCAACTAGTAGGCTTATACTGATTTCATGTCAGATTAGTTGTATGAAGCAACATGGTACCACGTTCATGAAAAAAGAGCTACATGAATCATGTCATTACGCCCCAACAGTTGTTAATCCACCAACTTGCAATAGTTTCAGAGCTAAGCAGAATTCCAGGCTAAGATTCCTCCAGCTTTACAAGAACGTATCACATCTAACACAAGCAGAGATGCGCATCATAGTGCGCTTCAGCTACTTACCCGTAGTTCTTGGGCGCCCAGAGGAAGGCCGGCGCCATCACCGGGGCAGCCACCGCCACCTGAGCAGCAGCGACCAGCATCACCGCCAACGCCATCCAGACCGCCGCCATCTGATCGAATCGGATCGTATCCGATCGACCCCCCGAGAAAAAGTCAAACAAAATTGCGGGAAATTGCTGCAGAAATCGATCTGGAGTATCTGGCGCGGAAATCGTGAACGGATCTTACCTCGGGGGGAGAGGGCAGCTCGGATTGGGGATTTGGGGTTTGCGTTGGTTTGGCTCGCCCGCTTCCGATACC